AGGGGAAAGCCTTATCGCTAGTAACGGGGGTCAGCAGCACCACAGCGGCAGCGAGTACCGGGAACCAGCCCTGATGTGGTGCCGCTGGCCACACTACGCCGTACAGAAGAGCATCTCACTCTGATGTACTTGCTGTAATGCTCTGTGCAGAGGCTCATTAATTTCCCCTTGTTTTCCTTTGCAGTAATCAGATGAGTAATTACGGTTCCACAGAGAAGCTTCCTTTCTCCCGCCACACCATGAACGCAGCCCAGGATGAAGCTCTCCTTACCGGCAATGGTTGCCAAATTACAGGCCCTCTCCGAGCCAGATGAGCCTTTCCTGCTCGATTTATGCCAAACCTGTTCGGAGAGCCAAGTAAGAGATGATTTTGAAGGCAATACTAACCTTTTCATGGGTTTGGGGGAGGCCTCCCGCTCCAGGTTGGAGGACGCATGCTTCACGTGCATGGCATTGTAGGAGGTGTGGGTGTACTCGTTTTCATCGCTGTAGTCGGGACCGAGTAACGTTCGAGCCCACGTCCCCATGTCGTACGGAGGAAGAGTCCCCCCAAATTCAGAGGGCAGGCATTCAGGGTGTATTAGCTGGTGAAGGCTGTTCAGGTTGTTACCATGAAGAAAGATCTTTAACAAATAAAAAGAAAGTTCAAAGTCATCATCGATTCCTTACTTCATTAAGTATAATAATAACAACACTAATGAGATGTGGAGTGTCATTAGTTGATGCTGCAGCTTCAAGTGGGAATTTGTGAAGCTCAGGGCTGGTGTGGAGGAGAGGGCTTGGCTTTGGGATGAAGAATTAGACTGGCACCACAAACACTTCTAAAAATCCTGATTTGCTTACTTTTGACACATGACACACACTTTCACTTTCTTAAGTACCAGATCAGGCAAGGTGCAAGTCAGGAATAATAACTGATTATTGCTCCGGTAAGAGGATAGAGGCTTGTACGAAGAATGGTGAGAAGAAAAGGGAGATAGGGGAGCTTACAGAAAGAAGGTGTGGAGAGTAGGTCCTCAGTATCTGAGAGGGCAACTCGGCCCTGCACCCTGGGACTGACCTTTCTCAGGGGTGTATGTCTGCATCACCACTTTGTACTGCTTCGGCAACATTTGTCTCTCTAATCCCTGTTTGCTTTCAGGCTGGTGCTACCCTTGTCCTGCCTGGTCAGACACAACACAGAGTGAGATCTGGGGCCTTCTGAGAGATGATCCAGCAGTTGTTTGATAGACTGCAGAGGACAAATGACCAAGATGACTGTGGGATCGTGGTTTACAAGGATTTCAGTGGGGAATAACTGCCTCTTCTGCAGTGTGAGCAGAAAGCCTTCGGGCATGGGCATTTTTTGTGGAAACAAGTGAGTTATCACCATGTGAAAACAGTCCATTTGCTGAAGGAATGAAACAGCAAATATTACTCCCATTAAAAGAGTTGAGCTGAAGTTTCCCTCACCGCAGGTGGCCTCAGCCAGACCTGATAATCCCTCCACATTGCTAATTCTCTCTATCCCTGAGAATGTCCCATTAAAATGTATCTACATTTTGCTCATGATAACAGCTTTCTGGTCCCTGGTTGAGTTATTGATTCAGTCCAGACCATTGCAAACTCAAAGTTTTAATAACAGCAGCCATTGAGGCCTCTCTGAGGCCATATGAAAAACACAGAGAGAAAAAGAAAGGAGAAAAGAAAACAGGCAGCTACTGAGCCGCTCCAGCTCCACAGCTTCCCATCCCCTCCCGGCCCCATCTAATTACCCTTTTCCTTGTTTTGTCTTTGAGGAACGGTTTGATTAGCGTGTACAGGGCATGGATGTACCAGGGCTGGTTGACAAAATGGACTCCTCCAAAACGGGCAGGAAAGCTGTCCTACAGAAAGAAAGAAAAGGAAGGCGGTTAATAGATGCAGTGCTTCAGCCGGGCAGTCAATAGGATGAAAGTCAGAGGACGAAGGCTGCCTCTTTCCATCTGCAAACGAGCACTGAGCTTGCTGGGAGGGGCCAGGAGCGAGACGGAGAAAGAAAGACGCCTGGAAACATTTGCATCAGTTTCTCCTGCTGACGGACGCAGCCCCTTCTCCCCTCCACACGCTAACGTGTCAGTCGCTGATGATTTAAAGCAGGCTCTCCAGCCGCTTCACCTGAACGTTTTTTGAACGTTTTTTAACTCCATCAGAGCACCCAACTCGGCTGGGACGGGAAGCGAGAGGGGGCCAACGAGCACCCCTCCCTCGAGGGGAACCTTTCTAATTTCTCATTGTTGGCATCGAGGCAATCCCCCGATTCCCACGCAGGCGGCCGCACGCCGCTCACCTTTTCACCCTCCGGCCTCCCAGCCTCCCCCCTGCTAAAATCATCATTACAATGGGGGTGACCTTTCGGGGTGAGCGAGCAGCGTGTTGCGGGGAGGAGGATGGGTGGGAAAGGATGATAAGTGAAGGTGTAGGGAGAGAGCACCATGACAGCACCATGGAAACTGCCGGAGCCCGGCGCTGGCTGCCGGTCTGTGCGCAAACACCGGCGGCATTAGCATGCGGGGAGCGTCCCGCCGAGGAGGGCTTTGCAACACCGTCCTGCTCCGCTCAGCTGGCGTGGCACGCTTAATGAGAGGAGGTTGCCGACGTGTTTGTAAAGGTTATTGTATATTGTGACGGGCATTTTGTACCTACGCTCTCATCTAACAAATGTCAGTCAGTCAGGGAAGAGCCTGGGATTTTTTTTTGCACTGCATAAATAGCGGGACGACCGCTGCTCCTCCGTGCAAATACGCTTCCAGTGAGCAGAGAGGTGCCCGTCTCTCCCCTGTGAAGGGAGATCCCGAGGAAGCTGTCCTTGCCCTGCATGTGCCCTTAATCCCTACAGCTCAGCCTGTAAAGACAGAGCATATAATCAGGTCTCTTCCTTCAGGGCTTCACAGCTTCGGGACTCAGGCAGGTTCATTCCCCTCACAATTAGCACAGGGTGTCCTGGGGCTTTTTCTCACCTTCCTCCGGAGCATCCGAGACTGAGCAGAGCTGGTGAGGATATGGGGCGGATTTGTGAGATGACATGGAAAATCACCATATACACTTGCTCAGTATAGCTTCTGCTCTGCTTCAAGGTCAATTTTTTTCCCAGATTTAGCACTACATATAGGTCCCACCATCTCCTACCACCCAGGGCAGGTTGGTGGGACTCTCTGGTGCTTTAGCACTGGCCATGGATTGCCCTGGCACACATCTTAAACCATGCTTGGGTGATGTTCATGAGCGGACAGAGGCATTAAGTAATACCTTTTTCTTTTGCTATACAGTAGTATAAGCTGCTCACTACCTCAGACATATCAGTTGACCTGAAATCATTACAAATCTCAATGTTAGATGCTCTGTGCAAGACCAGTAGGGAGTCAGGCCAGCACGCAGGAGGCCAAGCAGTGGAACATAACAGGTGATCCCCATTTCAAGGATGGCACATGCTCTGTTGAGGTGTTCATTCACAATAAAGGCAGCTGCATTTCCATTGCTCCTGGAATATTAATTAGAGTTTAGGGATGCAGCTCTGACTGATATAAACTGCTACAGTGCTGCAGATTGCAGTGACTGTAGGGTTGGGCTGGGCTGAGAAACAGTTGCAAAGAGTCTGAGCCCACCTAGAGAAAACATTGACCGACAGAAGTGTGAAGTGAAGCCCAAAGTGATTTTCTACTCTCTGATAACCTAAAATTGGGTTTTAGAGAAGACAAGAGCTAAAAATGACCATCTCATGCAACATCCACAAGTTCAGTTGTTTTCCTCTCACACGAGAATGAAAACTTGAAAATTTGAAACTTTTCACATTTCTTTTTTTTTTTTTTTTTTTTTGCCCATTTCTATATTTGTCAAGCTGACTGCCATCCTACAAGCTGTATCTCTAAGGGAGAAGTTCTGGACTTCTTTTGTCTTTGGGGCTGAGCTGCCACAGCTGTCCCAGGTTGTACCACAGCAGCATAGGTCAGTGTAGAAGATGACACAGTCTGAGTCTGAAGCAAAGGACAGTAAAGAAATGAGAGATGGGAAGCAGGGGAATGACTTTGGGACACAGACATTTATATTGACCCGAAAAAGAAAAATTGTTTTGTCCTCTCACTGGAATGAACAGATTAATCACAATCTTCAGTGAGAAATGTCATCAGATTTCATTTCCAAGAAGGAATGTCTTTTTTTTAGAACATGTTGACCATCCTTAATGATACCACATTATTCAGAAAGGTCTGAATGGTGACAATTATAGGAACCAGCCAGAGGTTTAAACTGGCAGACTGTCTCTGGAAAGGGTCAACTGAGGAGAAAGATGTACTTTCCTATATAGAAAACGAATTTTATGTCTGCCCAACTAGATTCTGTCTGGTACATCAGTAGCTTAAGTATTACAGGAAAACCCCTCATTTAACAGTTTTATTTAAAGGCAATTACTTTCTTTTCATTCTGAAGGGACACCTGAAAATGCACAAAGACAGACCCTTGAAAAGGCAGTGTGATGGCCAGGAAAAAAGAACAACCACCAAAGAACATCTTTTTGTGTGTAACTTGCTGCTAATTTTTGTTCCTCGCCCTATTACGCACGATAAGCTCAATTTGACCTTCATCCCTCAGTCCACCTGCATTTGTAAGGCTGTCAATTAGAACAAGGACAAAGACAATTATTTTTTTTTTTTTAACCAAAGAAATTTGATATGGGAATCATCCAGACACTGTTTGGAACTGCAACATACTAATTTTGCAGAAGTCCCTAATTAGAGCAGAGCTGTCTTGGAAAGAAAAGCTCCCATCTGGAGGTCTGCCTTTTGCAGCTCCAGGAAGATGTATGAGACCTTTCCCACACCCCACTTAGTGTCTCTGCTGCTTTCCCTGGGGCAAGGTGAAAGTAGCTGAAATTGATTTTCTGCTGAAAAGGTTTTGCTTTTAGGAATTCTCTTTTGATTTCTCATGTCTTGCAATTCCTTGGGAAGGTGTATTTTATAATGAGGTACATTTTTTGGAGCTGTGAGAAGGACCCTGAGATCATGGAGTCTGTTCTTAACATGATTCCTTGTTAAAAATACTTAAACCTGAGGATATATTTACGTTTTATTCCAATGGCATGAACAAACTAAAGCAGGCAGGAATTGGTCAATTTATTTATAGACACTACTGCCATTTTGTCTGAAAACCAGGGTGGACATATTCGCGTGTTGCTCAGAGATGAACTTGCAGCACAAATAAATACATCCAACCCAGTGCTAATCTAGCTAACTTGCTACTCAGCAATAGCAGCAAAGAAACAGTGAAAGGACTCCAGATGCCTGTTTGGGCAGGTAGCTCACTCCAGAGTTGGACCAGGTCTTCTTCAATGCGACCTGAAGTGAACTAAAACAAGGAATACATCTAACCGTGACGCGGTGACACCTTCCCAAAGCAGTCTAGACAAACCTGGAGAGATAAAATTGTCCAAACACAGGGTTTTAGTTGTTCTTGTTGATTGAGTGAAACCAGTGTCATAGATGGGACTTTTCTTTTGCCTGATTTGTCTTTTTTTGACTTTATATATGTTTCTTTTCTTTTTTTTTTTTTTAATTATTCCTCTTTGCATCGTCCCCAAAGAAGAGAAAGAACTGAACACCTGAGTGCCACAGTGGAGCTGCCATAGACACCGCAAAATCTGTACTGGCCTCCATACAGCTTTTATTTCAGGTTAGAGAAGTGTCTCCAAGGTTGCAGATCAGAGGAAAATTTTATGGAGATCATTGTTTCCCTTCTCCACTCAGACCTCCTGTGCAGGAAAATTTCTGAACTGAAATGAATTTGGGACTGAAAACCCTCGACACGTGATGTTCCATTAAATAGCTTAGGAGAGATAGCTATGAGGTGAATGGGAGGCAATTTTTCATTATTTCTGCCTGTTCTTGCCTTCACGACATCTCTTTCTTTTGGCATGAGTATGCAACAGAAACCTTTTACTGTGGTGGTGTTCTCAACTGCCTGAGAGCTAAAAATCAAGATGATCTTCTAGCATCTCCTCACACCAAAGCAAAACAATCTTTAGAATACCAAAATTAGGAATAAACCCAACCTGATGCTCAGGGTAAATCTTTCAAACTGCCTGAATTGGCTTCACAGACTAATGACTTGAGCTCAAAAACCAAATTGTAACATATTTCGATGTTATGAGACATCTGAATTTTGTGACACAAACGTTTTTAGCAGGCTTTCCTAACTTCTACCGTTTGCAATCAGAAAAGTAAACACACATCTTCCTGTCCAAATGCACTTGAATCTCGACCATACTTTCCAGTTTACTGCAAATCAAAATATAATCCCCTTTGAAAGAAAATAATTTCCCTTAGATTCAGGAAGATTTCCATCACAAAATTGTTTAAATCTAAAGGTCATTTAAACTGAGGATAAAACCAGCGTCTTCATGCCTGTGTGCTTACATAATTAGTCTCCATCATGGTTTAAATCTCCCACAGATCGTATTAATAGTTCAGGAAGATTTTATTAATAGTTCAGTGATAATTTCTCCACAGAGAATTTCTGTGAGTGTGTGATTTTAATGGATTGGCACAACAAGGGAAGAAGGCTTTCCGCTCTCCAACTCTGGATACAAGTTCAGCCTCTGAAAGAGTGGAAGTGGTTGAAAGTTGTTGTCCCCTATTTTATGACTTTGTCAGATATTGGATAGGTTGCGTCTATCAAAAACACATTCCTGACCGTGTTTGAATGAACGCCATGTAACACCCTCGGCGCAGACAGAGCAAGCTGCCTTATAGTAGGTGGTAGGAGAAAGGATAAAGCGTTCTCCCCATCGCTACAGCTTCAGCTTCTAATTTTAATGCAGTTCCTAAGAGGTGAATGCTTAGTTAAGGAAATCCTG